ATATATATCTTTTTCATATAATTAACGCATTAACATTATAATTTTCTATTTTTTTACTGATGTATAATAAAGCTGTAAAAATATATATAAAGAAAGAGAAACAAAGATTATACAATTTATACATAGAAATATTAACCATTAATTCAGTGTCTGTTTAGCAAAATCGAATTATTTTGTAGGTACACTAAAATGTACAATTTTTCTCGAATCGATTCCGAGAATCGGCCGAGCTTCCTAATTCTCCGTATTGCTCGCGTTATCAGTTTCCAAGAATCGGTCGCCGTGTAGAGGTAGACAAAATTCTGCGTATGGAGTAAGTACACAAACAAAAGTAATCCTTGAGTGGAAGGGAGGGGAGAGTAAGCCCGGCCACACTTGTCTATGTTTGTTGCTCGGATCTATCAGTTTTAATAGATCGGTCGTCGCGTGTAGATAAAATTGAGCGCGTGGAGTAAATATTGCCGGCAGAAATAAAAGTTATTTCTTTGAGAATGTACTTTACATATGGATATATGACTAAGTTCGTCATCTTTTTATTTTACATTATATGGTATTGGTTTGAAAATTAATACGATGGTCTCGTATTAATCTCGATATTATTTGTCGTGATTTTTTACTCGCGAATAATGAATTGTATTAAGAATGTCGAGAAGATATCCGGCTATTATAATTTACTATCATTCTTTTAGAACTGTTTTACGATATACGATATACTCGACTTAAAATCAGTATATTAGATCCGATCGTGAGATATAATACATAATCGGCCATATTTATCTAATGTCTCGCGAAAGGCCATCTTGAAAATTGATATGTGAACCCCGTAGTACTGTGTATTTCCTTTTCCGAAGTCAGTAGCAAACTGCGACGCGACTTGTGAACATCGGAAGTGTGGAAAAAAGTATCGACGATTATAATAAGCCGTTAATTGACGATTGTTGTACGATATTTGACTCAAAATCAGTGAATTAATGTGAAAGAAGATAGAATCCGTGCTGTACTTGTCGCAAATGTCATGTGCGGTCGATTTATAACCGTCAAAATGGCGGTTATAATAATATAAGAATTATCGGGAGTATCGCAAAAAATTGTAAAAAATATCGAGAGTGCCAGAAAAAATCAAGCGACGTATAATTCGACTGATCACGTATTTTACGAAATTCAGTCCAAGTGATAAAGGGGAAAGTAAAGTGAATAAATATGCATCAAGAGTGTGATGAGGATAAAATAGTAAACTACGTAAAAAAATCAGTGCGACGAAAAGTTTCGGGAGTGCCGACTGAAGTTATCGCGTGGCGCGTATTTCAATTCGCCGTAAATATACAGGGTGAGGGCAATTAGCTTTCCGGGAATCGGCGTGTATAGATATGTGTGTTGGAAGTGACCAATGAAGCATCCAACGATCCGGTCTATCGTGTTAATTAGCGAGCGCGATCGTAATTAGTTATAATTTTCCGATCGATTCGTGCGAGTGAGTGTTTTTCATGGAGTCGAGCTGATGTCGAAGATCGTCCTTCCCCCTTCCCCCAAAGATACAAGCTTGGATGTAAAAACAACAACAAACACCGACGAGACTGGTGAGTGTATTTATCTTGTTATCTGTATGAATAATTGGCAATTATGAATCTTGTTCAGTCCATTGAACAAAATAAGCTCTAAAAATATAATAATTTAATCGATCGAATAAGAAATAAAATCTGCCCTTATACATACACAAAGAATTTCAATTATATTATTTAAAGAATATCTTAATCTATATATATGCAAAAATATAGTGATTAATTTTGTAAAATTAGCAGCCTGTATTTATAATTATTTCGATAAATTTAATTGATAAAGAGAGAAAGAGAAAGAGAATGTGTGTGTTCCATCTTCTTCAAAAAAATTTCAGTTTTAAAAATAAACTATAACTTTACAGAAATGAAATAATCGTCTTTGAAAATTGCTCTGAGAAAGTATTGCGTTATAAATGGACTGAACAAATTTTGAGATTAAGCAAATTGTGTTATTTAATTTTAAATTTGTAATGATTTGGCTATGTCATAATCTGATTTATTCAGTCGATAGCACCATTCGACTGCAAAGTTATAATTAGCATAGTTATGATTTGATACATCTTGTCATTGATATATTTGTGCATGGTAGATGATAAAATATACGATTTTTATTTCGATTTACCTCTCTGGTAATGACTTTAGCTATTTGATTCTTGAATATATTTGATGTAGAGGGAGAGGTATTGCAGCGGGTAAAAATATATTTCAATTAAAAAATTAATTATTTGTAGGCACATAATTTTGTTGAAATAATGTATATATAATCATTTAATAATGAATTGAAATTTTACATTACACAATAATAAAAATAGATATTTATTTTCCATAATTTATAATCCAGGAAAACGCGATAAAATATAAAAAAAGATATAAATTACAAAAACAGATATATATATTTAAATACAAATTTGAATAAATAATCTGAAAGAGAAAAAATTAATTTCTTTGCGTAGTACAACATTAGTTTTTGACAATTAATTGACATTTTCAATTTTGATAACAAAAATTGCTTTGATATTTGACATACGAAAAATTCTCAGCTTTCTAGTATGCCTGTTTGTAATGTATACAATATTGCAGATATGAGATATCAATGATCGTATTAAATGTGATTTCGTATCGGGAGAACTAAGGCCATTACAGGCAATCGAGCGACAGTGCACAGGCGATCAGCTGATCGCGTAATCGTGTGCTCGCGGCACGTAACTGACCTTCCTCTACGACGCGCACACGAGTTCTTGCGTTCTTGGAAGCGTTCACTTGTAATATATATACTCGGTTGATGAATGAGCGTTGCACATTCGTTTTTTGAAGTGCCATAACACAGCAAAAAATAAAAAAGATATCAGATAAGTACGCGATCATTTTGCGATCGTTCCGCGAGAATCTCACTATGAGTGATCTTGTAATAGTTGTCTATGATATAATGATAGAAAATAGAGAAAATTAATTTTTAACCATATATCATATTTGTCACATCGTAATAGAGAGAGCGAGGATTGAAAAATTACTCTAAAGTATTTCTTAAAAATATTTTCTCACACAGTATTTTTATCGTCGCGCGCGAGAAAATTATTTAATTTTTAAAAATAAATAATACTTGTAGGACACAAAATAAGAGGCGATTTTGAGAATCATGGTTAAACTTTAGCTATAACAGTGCTTTCTCTCTTGAGATCGCGCATGTAAAGAGGTTTCGCAAACACTTACCGATATTCAGGCGAAGGGCAGGCTTGCGCCACGCAGACTAATGACGTCGATTCGTCCTGGGCGACGTGAACGACGCCGGAGTTTTCGAGTATCACGGGAGGCATTACGCCTCTGTGATCTGTGAAGCAGAATGCAGAAAACTCGGCGCGTCACAAACAGCATTTCCCAGCGATGCACAGCAGTTTCCTTCAAAACTTATCGGCGTTACCGAGACTCACCTGCTATCCTAATGTTGGCCATAGAGCTAACGACCACTTGTCTCGTGAGACGGTGCATCGTGCGGCATCTATAGCCGTTCAGCTGGTCGCTGAACTCGAGACTGTGAACCAGAAGCTCTCCCGTGGGAAGCAGGTGGAACTTGCCATCTATAAAATGTAGCGATCGAAAGCCATCGTGAAATGTCAAACGTATCGAAAGTAGATCGTACGATATACAAGATGTTATACAAGATGTCCTAGAAAACTTATATAATAGTAAAATATTTTCTCTATCAACTTTTTTTAGAGGCTTATATATTTAATCTTGAAATTTTAAGATGTAGTTTCTCTCGACAAATTTTTGCCGACGATAAAAAAATAGGTACAAATTCGCGAAAATATCTCTGACCGATAAAAATTTTACAAGTTTGAGATATACTGTAATATGTTATAATTAAATTATAAATTATTACGATAAAAAAAATTCGCGAAAATATCTCTGACCGATAAAAATTTTACAAGTTTGAGATATACTGTAATATGTTATAATTAAATTATAAAAATTATAAATT